ATTCCATTGTGGACACCGGAAATCATGGCTTGCCCATCTCAACCTATTTCCACATCAATCAAGAGAATGGCAGTATTTATACCTCCAGGGTTCTAGATTATGAGCAAGAAAAAGTCTTTCAAGTTTCAGTAGAGGTGAAGGATTCAGGTTTCCCACCGCTGAGCAGCACAACCACTCTTCATCTGTTCATAGTGGATCAGAATGACAATGCGCCTGTAATTGTACACCCAGAAGTTCCCAAGGGTTCTGCCTTTCATCAGTCACTTTTAATCCCAGTGGAACCTGGATACCTGGTGACTAAAGTAGTGGCTGTGGATGCTGACAGTGGCCATAATGCATGGGTTTCATACCATTTGCTCCATGAGACAAATGAGGTGAATGCTTTCAAAGTAGAAGGCCACTCAGGAGAGATCCGTGTCACTCGGACACTGAGGGAGCCTGGGGTTTCCCATCGGTTGGTGGTAGAGGTGAAAGACAATGGGGTCCCATCTCTTTCAGCATCATTGATTCTAATAATCTCCTCAGAGGATAATGCTGCACAGGACTTTACCAAGTCCTTGGACCTCCTCCCAAAGTCACCTGCCAGAGCCCAGAACTTAACTCTCTATCTTATCATCTCTCTTGTGGCTATCTCTCTGGTGTCTTGTGTAATGATGATTATTGTAGGAGCCAGGTGCTTCAAATCTGGCTTCTGTGTCCCGAGCTGGATCATATCACGCTGCTGTAGTAGGAGGACAGACCGGAAATCTACCATAAATATCAGTGGGTATCCAAATCCAGAAGGCTTTATAAGATACCTTGAAGTGAGTGGAGCTGGAGCTCAGAACTACAAGTCTTGTTTCTCTCCTATGTCTGAGCAGGGAGATTTCTTTTTTGTTAAACCTTTCAGTCATTCCACTACAGCAGAAAGCATTCTTGCCTTTGAACACACAGGCAGTGCTTTGCAGAACCCCTGTGATGCGGTAAGATACACCAGGACAATGCTGGAAAATATATAAATATATATATATATATATGTATATATTTGCTATCTATATTTAACAGAAACTTTGCCATGAACTTTCATTTGTCCTGAAGATACCATGTTCATGGGTGGGGAACAGTTTTGGATTGTTTTTGCAAGATATTTTGGATGTTTTATTATAAATAATGTGTATTGCCACTTGTCTTCACATTGACATCTGTCTTTGCTCCTCAATGGGACATCAGGATTTAGAAGAGAATGGAGTTAGATTTGTCAGTGATCCTGGTCTTGATAGCTGTTATTTTGATTCTTTTATTCAGTGCAGCTAGCGAAGTTTAAAAACAGAAACTGAATATAGAAAGTTTAGAACGCAGATTAAAATTAACAATAAAAAAGTGCTAAAATAATTCAATGAATTGTTTGCCCTTTAATAGAAAATGTTCTTGGTGTTGTTACTGTGTCAAAAAGGCTTCAGTGTCAATTTAGATAAGGAACAGGAAGTAAGTTTAATGATGAATGAAAGTTAGCAGCTGAAGTTCCCTAAGTTATGTTCAGTTTTCTTCAATTTGTACAGCAAATGGTTGGGAGAAAAGTTCTGAACAAATGTAACTCTTAACTAAAATTAACTATTTTAACTTCATTTCAAACTAAAAGAAGCGAAACATTTTACAGAACTCATTCCAGAGTGCAGGACATAGAAGTTTCAGGAACACTGTTTCTGCTGAATATTAGAAAAAACTTCCTAACCAGAATTGCAGTTCAGTATTAGAGACTGTTATCTCACAAGGTGGCTTTAATTTGGATTCCTGGATTGAACAGAGAATTGGATGCAGTGATCTAAATGAGCCTTTCCCGGTCTATGGTTCCCTAAAAGGATCTGTGGGATATGTATTTGTTTCCTTGCTTCCAATTGGAGATTTGCAAATATTATGCCTGATGCATCATTTTTAGCACAAGTGATTGTGATTTCTAAAGATTTTTCGGTTCCATAAAATGCTGTCTCATCTTTCTCCCATTACTGGAATTCCATGTGACTGCCAAGCAATATTCAGATTTATCATTGTTACAGAATTATAATGCTCATTTTTCATATAGCAAAAATACTAAATTATTTATTCAAAATGGTTTAAGAACCTGGACCCAGATACTCAAGTCAGGACAAATATCTTTCTTTTGCTTTGGGGTTCACTTATTTTAAATTGCCCTCTAAGGGAGGGTATAGGGGCTTTATCCCATATCCAGGACTAACAGTTTTATCCTTGGGGAAAAGATGCTTGCTGTTTTTTTGTTGCTTTTTCAGGGGGTACCTATTTTCACTGTTAAAATGGCCCCCTGGCCCTCCACTAACAGTCACATTGCCATTTGCTGCTGAATTTCAATGCTATAGAACCGGGGGCTCTGGAGTCTGCAAATTTTGGTTTGGGCTCTACAAGTTATATGCTGTTGCCTTAGAGAAAGAATTGCAAATTCTATCAACTTTATTTTCCTGAACAGAATCCATGTAGCCTTTAAGGTTATTTTATTATTTTACGTATTTTAATTTTGACTGTATAGTGCTATAGAGGCATTTCTTTTTTAAAAAAACTTTCAAAGTTCTACATATATAAAGTAATAAATATATTATCTTAATTGCTGTAGTAGCAAGGGGAATTCTTCAGAAACTCTCATAGAAAACTACACCCGTTAGGGCTGTGCCCGCTTAGAATTGGTTAGAAATAGTGTTTTGGAACTTGTAGAAGCACAGCTGCTCTCTGCCTTTCATGAAAGGAACCTGACTTTTTTAGTGAGATGGAAAAAAGATGTTTCTGCTACTATCAGGATCCACTCATTTAAGTTTGGTTTTGTGTCTTCAAGTCAGTGTTGGCTCCTGCTGACTGCCTGAACAGGTCCCTGCAGTTTTCTTGGCAAAAATTTCAGAAGTGGTTTGTCATTGCCTCCTTCCTAGGGTGGAAAGCGAGTGACTGCCCCAAGGTCACCCGGTGCCTTTGTGCCTAAGGCAGGACTAGAACTCACAATCTCACAGTTACTAGCCTGGCGCCATAACCACTACACTAAACTGTCTCTCCTACACATAATCCATTAGACTAGGGAGTTTTCTTGAGCAGGTTCTCTAAAAATGAATGGGAGCTCTAAGAAGCCTCAGCAGAAGACCTCTGTATCACATTTGAATAATATTGAATTTGCAAGGAATATTTCCTAATCAGTTAACTCATAGGGTTGGGAATAATGAACCATTAGTGAAGGGGACAGTTAATTTAAGAAAAATAATTCCCTCACAATTTTAATACAGTACATTAATGACAGTTCATTTTATTTTGCTTCTGAATTTTTCTAGTAGAATAAAGATATGTATAGAAACAAATGCAATATTTTGCAATGCATTCTATTTTGATTGCTCCCAAGCCTTCAGTTAGGTTTGCCTTATGTAGGCTATACAAATCCAGGTAGCCACTAGATGCAGAAATGAGATACAGAAAATTCTTTCTGTACCATAAACCAAAAAGCTGCTGGTTTGTGGTTCCTCAGCTTTTTGCATCTCAGATTGATATCCCTGTTTGAAATCCTTTTTCATATATTTTCTCTACATCTTACTTTCCATTGTTGTGGTCATCTGAAGAAATCTAGCTAAAAAGTTTTAAGATTTGGCAGCAAGCCCATACTTTCATTTTTAGAAATACAAAGATCCACTATAAGATAATTACATACAGGTGCCATTTTGTAAAATTAAGTAATCAGTTTTGGAATCTCTGGATGCTCAAAAGATATGTGTATCAATGAATACATTTTTATATGCATATCTCAGATTCAGTATACAATTATACCTATTAGCTCTCCATACTATAGAAACAAGTGAGAAAGCAAGTGTAAACAATGAAAAGTTTATTGATGGAAGTTTCTGTGTAAGTTTTGCCTAGGGCAGTGTATGTATATTTCTGTTTGTAGACACACATACATACGTGCTCAAATATACTCTCTGTATGAATATATTTGACCTTAGCATTCAAACAAACTGATTAATAATTAAGGGATATCTTTCACTAATGTGGGCATGATAAGCCACATTTAGGCTATTACAAGTAGTCCTCACTTACCCACCATTTGTTCAGAAACCAGTCGAAGTTACAATGGCACTGAAAAGGGAGACTTATGACCGGTCTTTGAAGTTCTGGCCGTCACAGCATCCCTGCAGTCATGTGATCACAATTCGGGCACTTGGCAACCAGCTGGCAATTATGACAGTTGCAGCAGCCCGCGGTCATGTGATCGCCATTTGTGACCTTCAAAGCCAGCTTCCGACAAGCAAAATCAGTGGGGAAGCTGGCAGGAAGTCGCACGTCGCAGTCACGTGACATTGTGCTTAACAGCCCACAGTAATTCACTTAACAACCACAGCTGGAACTGACAAACTGACATCGTAAGTTGGGCATGGTCACATGACACTTCACTTTACAACTGCATCGCTTAGTGATGGAGTTGCCGGTCCCAATTGCAGTCGGTAAGTGAGGACTACCTGTACTTAATAGGTTTCTTATCAATAAGGTACGCATAATCATTTGAATCTTCCCCCTTTTTCTCCTTTCCTTTTCTCTCCTGTAGCATTCTGAAATCCACATTCTATTGGCCAAAAAAAAATGGTAGTAAAATCATTCTCTCTCAGGACCAACCCTCCCCTACTCATTATTTGTGATATTCAATGATGCTTTTTCAGGTTTGTTTCATGTTTTATTTATTTTTATGGAGTACTTTCTGAATGACTTCTCTGGTAGATTAGAGACTATTTCAGATTGTGGTGGTACTGGAGTGCTGTTGAATAAACAAGCACATTTATTTAGCATACTATTTACTCATGCATTCCTGTTTGGAAGTATTTTGGAAAACGTCTCTGTGTACTTGTGCTTATTGTTTATAATTCAAACTTCCAAAGCATAAGCTAAGCATATATTACAGCTTATATTTAATATTCTGTAGTAATAATGAAGATGCTGTGCTTAAATTGAATAGAAATATGTTCTTCTTTATGTTTTTTTTTTTTCAGCAAGCACAACCTAACACAGACTGGCGTTTCTCTCAGGCTCAGAGACCAGGAACTAGTGGGTAAGTTGTTTTACACAAATAGATACTATTTGTTGTTTAACTATAGTTCTTACTTTTGTACTATAAAAGTATGTGAAAATATTTATAGCTTGGGAAGTAGTAGACTTTTTCTAGATCTTTGTCAGGTCATGCTGGAATATTTCCAAAGATTACAATGTGAAGTTCGGATCTTATGTAAACTCATTTCTGGTTGTGCATGGCCCGGAAATAGCAGATGTGTAATATTCTAATCTTTTTTTCCACTTATACTTACCAAAATGAAGCTAAAATTGTCCAACATACTTTACTGATGAATAGTAAGATATATGCATAGGAAACTACATTTGATTATTTGCCAGTTCAAACTGTATTAACAACATTCACAAGAAAAGCTTCAGACAGAGATTTGGGTTCTTTCACAGATATGTGATAGAAAAGTCTCATCTAAAAGATGAAAACTCTAATTAAAGCTTGGAGGAGTGTCCTGAAATTTTGAATGCAAATGTTGATGCCTTGACCACAACCCAACTTTTCCTCTCTTGATCCCAGCTTTAATAGCCATTCTAGCAAAGAACACAAAATTGACCTCAGAGTTTATAAAATCGCAGAATGAAAGGGTTGGAAGTGACCTTAGTGATCTGAGGTCTCCTGTTCAGTGCAGACATTCACTACTGTAGCTTCTCTGACTTCTAATGAAGGAGTGTCACCACCTCCATAGTTGTCTGTTCCATTGTTGTAAAACCCTAACTTGTGGACAAGTTGCTCTGACAGGGCAAGCTACTAGCCAGGTAATAAAGTACCTGCAAGAAAAAAACCAAGCTCAGAGAACCCCAAGGACTCCACAATGCAACCTTGAGCTACATACATTCTCTTCTATTGAAACCCTAACTTCTAGGATATTTTTTTCTCACATTCAGCCAAAATCTACTTCATTGTAATTTATATCACTATTTCATTTCTTTTCTTTTGGAACAACTCTGAACAATTCTGCTGTCTTCTACATGACAGCCCATTTTGTATGTTTGATCTCAGTCACAATATTGCCTGATAATAGATGGGAAGATTTTTTTCTTATGGTCCTGGAAGACTTAGTTCTCAATTTTCCCTGTTACTAGCAGGGCAGCCACTTTTTCTGGTTTTCTACTTGCCCAATTCTGGTTTTTTTTACTGGGGCCAGAGGAACCAGACATATTTTTGAGAGAGCTGTTGTTCTGTACTAGCTAATAGATTGAGTAGCAATCTGATTTTCCTGGTTCAGAATTCATTTCTACTACTCTTGTAGGGCTCAGTTGTCTCTTTTGCAATCTGGGGATAGTAAAGCTGATTTACTTTACACCAGATGGGGAATTTGTAGCTCTTTATTTATTGCTAAACAATTTCCAGCATCCTTCTCAGTTGGCCAAGCAGGCTGGGGCTGTTGCTTGCCTTAAGCAAAATTAGGAGGACTGCAAGTTCCTTATTTCTGCCCCAGCACTTGAACATACTGTAGAAATGCTAAGTATGCATTAGTATTATTAAACTGTTCCTGCTCCTGGGTTTTTAGTACCACATGTAGTATAACAAATGACAATAAGATAAATCATTTTGCTTGTAATTAGAAAGAGCAATTTTGATTTTACATATTTTATTATGATTTTACATTTTTATATATACCTATCTCTGTAATTCAGAACAATTTCCTCCTCCTCCTCCTCCTCCTCCTCCTCCTCCTCCTTTTCAGAAATATGTATCTACTACTTTAAAAGTAAAACTCTGCAGAATGGAATATGCAAAAGAAATGTAAATTTCTTAATATAGAAAATGCCTACATCAGAACTGTAACATTTGTCCCCAAAGTGTTTCTGAATACTTAACAGCTGCTTAGCAACCAAGAATTCAGTAGTTTAACCTTTTTTCCCCCACTTCTGCATAAATGAGAAACACATTTATTTCCAGCAACTGGAAAAGGGGTCAACAGATGAAGCTTTTCTCAATTATGCAGAGGCACTGATGAGAAAAAAAGGGTTTATCTGCCAACTCCTTCTTGTCCTACATCAGTTAAAGGTATCCATCAGACTCATCAAAGGCCAAGGCAGAGCAGAACAATTTGCAATAGATTTTCATTTGTCTAGAGTGGAACATATGCACTTGAACTTTCTCCTTTCCAGATTTGGGCCTTTGCGAATTTCAGATTCTAAATTCTTCCTTTGGAGCTTTGAAACACCCTAGATGGTGGCACTGTAACAGATGTTTAAAAGTTAAACCTCTTTTAAAAGATACTTTAAAAGTTCACTGTTATGTAGAATGCAATGATAAGAGAACAGGAATACTTAGTACCTAACAGGTCTGCCCTCAAAAATGATTCTTACAGTCAGGCAACAATCAGCTTACCCCTGATTTCCCCAGCGTCACAGTGACTTGAATGAGTGAACACACAGATCTTCAGTTATTTCAATTGCTTCTTGACACAGTCACACTGTTACCCACCCACCCTTCCGTTAACACAATTCAAAATATGGGTATGCTATGTAGATCATAGATTCCTCATAATAAAAATGAACAGTTAGAATACACATGAAATCTAATAAACCACATACTTGACAGAATCAAGTTCAAAGAAGAAGAAAAGTTACCTTTCCTAAACATCCTCATTAACAGAGAAAACAATAGTGAACTACAGACCCAACTCCATAGAAGATCAACTCACAAAAAACAAATCTTCAACTACAATAGTAACAACCCAACAGCACATAAAACAAGTTGACTAAAACCTCTATTCATATTATCCATAACATACTGCAGTACACTAGAATTACAAAAAACAGAAATAAACTATTATAAGACATCCCTTCAACACAGTGGATTATGCTTTCATTTTGTTGCATTTCTACTGTGCGTCCTGAGATTGGGGATCCTGTCAGAATTCCTTTGATCTATTTGGATTTGAAACTGTGCAGTTAGGGATAGGTCACTTTGTTTTAGAAGTTTGTGTATTTCAATTTTGGTATTTTCAAGCAGGTTGGTGAGTTGTGGAGTAGTTTTACTATTGTCTCTAACTAATTTTGGGTCAGTTGATGTGAAGAGAGCAATGATACCACAATTTACTTCTTTTCAGTCTTTTATTTTTGTAAGATATTGTGCTAGTGAGCTGATGGAGTACTTGCAGCCATATACTAGATGTTTAAGTTTCTTGGTCAGTTTTTGTATAAGTTTTATATAGAGGTCCCTTTTTTCCTTGCTTTTTCTCCTCATTCAGCATTCACCGTGATATTTTACCATTGCAAAGACCATTATTTTAACTATTCTGATCTTTATTGTCATTATAATGTCCTTATCCTTCACAATCTTGTCTAAATTTTCACTGCCTGCCTCTCTATAATTTATATCTTCTTTACCTCTCCACCCTGTCCATCTTTATTTGTTCTTGAGATTAAAAAAAATGAAACTTTGCTACTGTCTTCGCTTCTTCACTACTGACTGCAAGTTCATTAAGCCTGCAGCTTGACATTACCTTTGTCTTCTGAATATGTAACAATATCCTCGATAGCTCTTCTCCATTTACATTTGGTTAGCACACTGTATTGCTATTGTCTGCATATCTGAAACTTCTAGTGTTTTGCCTGCCAGTGTGCTTTGAGCCTTCACCTTTTCAATTCCTGGCATGTTTATAATAGCATCACTGTATAAGTAAAACAGGTATTATGACAGTACTGTATGATCCTTGCCTCAGTCCCAAAAGCACTCTGTTTCTCCTGATTTAGTTCTTATAGTAACTTCTTGTTCATTATAAAGTTTCTTCAGAAAAAAAAAAGTTTTAGCCCTCCCATTAGACTTAATGTGTTCCATATTCTGACCTGATACACGCAATCAAAATCTTTCTTTAAATAAGATATAAAGGTATATTTTATATTCTCTTGCTTCCTCTCTATTACTTTTCTTATCTCATGTCTCCAGGCTTTTCTGAAACCTGCCTCTTCATGTGGCATTTTTTATTTCATGTATGGCTCTATTCTTCTTTGAAAAATCTTAAGCGAATGTTTACTTGTGGGAGGATTTATTAATTGATTTTATTTAACTTGTTACACTACCAACTTCTGAACTCAGCAGTTGATAGTAAAGACTGTAATGGGTCAGTAACTGCTGTAGTGTAATGGTTTGATCATTGGCACGTAGGTGTATGGACCAGTCTTTTCCAGTCTCCAGGCTACACGGTCTTGTTTCATATGGATGACATAGAATGGTTAGCACTTTCACTGCCCCTTCCCTTTTAGCTGTAAATAGTTCAATGTGTATTGTATGTGCACCGGGCTGCTTTCTGTTTGACAGCTGGTCCATTGCCTGTCTTACCTCCCTTCCTAATGGAGTTGGCCCTGAATATATTCTCTCTCTACAAATGTTTCTGTCTTTGTAAGATCCTTACATTTATGAAACACTTCTGTGACAAGATGGAGGGAATTCTTACAAATGTGCAGGTGATGCATCTGGGTGGGATAGCTGATACTCCAGAATGCAGAACCAATTTTAAAGCAGTCTTGATAGGTTAGAAACATGAGCTGAAAATCATAGAATGAAATTTAAATTTCTTCAGTTAGGAAAAAGAAATCAAATGCACAAGTACGAGATGGGGGATAACTAGCTTGACAGTTGCACCTGTAAAGGGTCTTGTGTAGGCCACCATCTCTTCAGCCAAAAGTGGTCTTATTGCAAAGGTCTCTCTGACTTATGAACAGACCTGTCACTTTCTGAATCTGCTCTCCCACTTACTCTGTTGCATTTCTTTATGCAAGTATGTGCCAGAGGGTTTTAAAAAGCAACTTGGCATGGCTGCCATGGCATAGCCATTTCAAGTATGATGGAACTTCATAAAAGGAAATCAGATTGGAGCTTTGAATTTGGGCAGAGCATGATAGAACTGCCCATCCCACATTAGGTGAGTAAAAGCTATCCTTAATTGCCCTGAACTGCAAACCCAGTCTTCTATTTTTCTTTAAAATTTAGAATCGATGTTATTTGCACAAAGATATATGCTAATATCATTTTAAAAACAGCAGTTACGTAATAATAGACACCAAATGCTCAGTGCCAAAGACCATAATGTACAAGATGTATACTTCACAGGGACTAATACTTGTTAGTGAGTTAGTTTATCTAATTAATATTAATATCAGAGAAGTTAATCTCTCTTCTACTTATTGGGGAGGGGGGTGGTTGGTTTTTATAAATACCAAGAATAAGCCTTAACACATATGTGAAGAAATAAAGGCGGAATATGAATCAAATCAATCAATAAAAATTTACACTGTCTTTTTGTCTCTATTGTACCTTTTCAGATATTTTATTTGTTTTGTTTCCTCTTAGATCTCAGAATGGAGATGAAAATGGAACTTGGCCAAACAATCAGTTTGATACTGAAATGCTTCAGGCTATGATTTTGGCATCAGCAAATGGTTAGTGTCCACAAATAATGTAACTTATTTTAGTATTGCACCCACATCCCCCCCACACACACATCCCTTTAAAAATTAGTATAAAATGTTTGTACTCCAAAAGACAGTATAAACTGTCTTTTGCAGTACAAACTTGTCTTTCATGGCAAGAAAGTGCATCTTATGTCAAACTAGTCAATAGTCACTGTATATTATATAAAATATTATATAAAAAAGCAATCATGGAAATGACATTGGATGGTTTGTAACCATATGTACATTAGAGAGCTTTTTGTGCTTAACTAACAGTGCTGCAAAGTGGGTCAGACTATGCATATATTGATGTGGGATTATATTGAAATTTAAGGCTTAGAATTTATGAATTGGTATATGGTATCAGAGCTTGCTAGTTGCTATATTGTGTACTATTTCCTTATTTTACTTTCTTGGAGTACTTATGATTCTTTTTGTTAGGTTCTCACTAAAAAGGCAGTAAAAATTTTCCTGCTTTCTGATAAGCTTTGTCTCATGATTTTTTCTCTGTATGGATATTAACTATCCCATACATTGAAGCAAAATGCTGAATGAATTTGTGACACTGATATTAAAAAATCCACAGTGCTCAAATACTCTGTTCTCATATATCAGTGGAAGGTTGTTTTAAAGAATGTGAAATTAGTTTACTTTGATCTTAAAATGAGGTGAGTTGGGTGGCATACAAGTTTAAATAATAATACACATCATCATCATCATCATCATTATTATTATAATACCAGATACCTCAGAGAGAATTTAGGTATATATTACAGAGGTACTTCAACAGCCAAAACATTATTTCATATGGTCTGTCCTACTATCACTGCACTTGGGATTGAAAGTCTAGGATTGTTAACAGAACTTCAGACCTATTGTTGTGGGTTAAGGATTCTTTTATTGTGCCGGGCTATAGTCCCAGTATTTCAAACTTATCAAGACATTAAGCATTGTGGATTTTTTTGTGAATGTTGATGGCCAAAACAATTATTATACAACACTGGAAGGAAAAATCTGCTTCTGATGTGCAGCACAACTGTCTGTCAGTGAATTAAGTTTTTATTTTGAATGAAGGAAGAGGGAAGAGATCTTTCAAGACATTGGGTTAAACTTCTGGGAATTCTCTTGTTTATCAGATTTCCCTCCCTCCCTCCTTCCCTCCCTTCCATGATGTTACAGTGTATTGTCAACATTATTATATATATTATTAATTAGTATAATACACTATAAAAGAATATGGTGAGGTTTCATAGTGTAGGGTTGTTGGTCAAGAGAATGGGCTACAGACTCAGGAAGGCCCCAGATTCAAATCTTCCTTCTCCTAAGACATTAGTAGGTGCATTTAAGCTCTCTCTTTGCTTCATCTCTAATCTACACAGAAAAAAATAATTGCAAGGTTTTGAAACATGGTATATTAATGCTGGATGTTGTTATTATTAGTTTATGTTTGTTTTAATTTTTTAAACAGTAAGTCTGTATAAATCTATATGTGCAGATTACATCAACCATGCACATGGAAACCCAGAGAATGGACTACATAATTATTAGAAAGACAACATGTGTTACTTCTCTTGCCAGCGGAACTAACTATTAATACAGGGTTGCTTTTTTATTCAGGAAATTCAGGCAATTGTTCTTCATGTTTCAAGCAGATATTAGAAATTTATTTAGATATGCTTGTATAATCTAACATTTTCTAAAACGTATGCCTCTTAAAGAATAAGGAATTGCAGGGAAGAGAAAATCCTTCTCAGTCAAGTCTGTGCATGCATGACATCGATCAAGTATTACTTTAAAACGTATTTATTTCCCCTCTTCCTATCCTAATACTCATGCAGAAGCTGCTGCTGCTGCCGCTGCTAATCCAGATGGAAATTCTACTCTGGGAGGAGGAGCAACAGCAGGCACCATGGGCCTCAGCACCAGGTATGGCCCCCAGTTCACCCTTCAGCATGTTCCTGATTATAGGCAGAATGTATACATCCCTGGGAGCACTGCTACCCTCTCCAATTCCTCTGGCAAACGTGATGGAAAACCTGCAGCCTCTGGAGGGGGAAATAAGAAGAAGTCAGGAAAGAAAGAGAAGAAGTAGAATCCACAGGATAACACAGCCACTTCCACGTAGTTCTAAAGGGCAGACTCTTCCAGCACTCCCCCAGTTCATAGCCTAGGATGGAAGACGAATGTGAATTTGTGGTTAACATTTTTTTTAAATATGGAACATTGTGAATGTACATTGTTGTTGTCATCTAAGTTTATGAGTAGATGTACTGCTGTTACTCATGATGAAAAATATCTGGATAATAACAAATACAGTGTATACTCTTTCAAGGACGATCTAATATGCAAGGGTGTCAGATCTTTGAAACATTTTCTCTCCTGAATGATCTGCATCAGCAACAAAGTTTAGGATGGGCTCTGCTCATTGTAAATAATTATTCTGAACAGAGTTTTTTATTTATATAAGTTCCTCCATTTTTATGAAAATTCTCACTTTTCCAAATTTTGATAGAAGTTCTTGGGGGGAGGGTTAGGCATCATTTCAGCTGGAATCCTTGTTATGACATTGATAGGGAGTGCTTTAGTTCCTGCTTTGTTTTAAATGAAGTGTTTATCCTGTATTATTACAAGGGAATGAGATTCAGCTACATTGTAAACATTTATCTTTTTTACAAGTTTAACCAATGATGGCCAGAAAAATTAAACTGATATTGTAATTTCTGAGAAGCAAGGAGCGCATTGCAATGGGAAGCCTTCCACGCGCAGAATATGCCGTAGGTATTAGCAAGACAGAGAACACTGCCATTCATGATTGATTTACAGTGATCTCTAAAGAGGCAACACATCTCATCTACAACTTGGTCCATTAATATGTACATGTATAGTAAATGTTTTCTAGAAAAAGTTGAAGAAAAAAGTCACTCACTTGTGAGCATAGTGAGCTACTGCTCTTATCTCTGCTTGACTCCTGAGGGAGATGTCTTTGTTAACTGGATGAGCTCTGCTGATCTTATAGGTAGAACATTAAAAATAGAATGCTTCACATTTTTCTGCACATCAAACTGCATGCAAATCACCTTACATTTACAGGAGAGCTGACTCCACACCCAAGCTTGAATTGGGAAATTTATTGCATGACATGAACAGCATGATGTTAATATGCCCGCAAGTGCCCACATCCTGGTAGAACCTCAGCACTGTCTGTGAGTAAAGTTCACTAGCAAGATGCATTGCCCTGCCTCAGAGAGATGGGGAACTCGTGTATTTCATTTCTCTGGGCAGTATAGCAAAAAAAAAAAAGAAAGAAAAAATTGGTTTGCTGGCCTTCACAATTTGATATTAGACAGTGACTGATTTGAGAAAGCTAAGGGACCGGGCTCAATGAAGGTATACTGGAATTAGAACTGGACACATTGCCAAGCCAGTCACTTTATTCCTGAGCTTGTTATAAATGTTAAACAAGTGACAATGCATTGGTGCAATCAGGCAATTTGAGACCCCTACCACTACCTCTTCTTGGATATGAACAGATCTTAAAATATTAAAAATACACCCAAGTTGTGTTACTATGTTTTGAAATTGCTAGATTTACAGTAGCTCTTTTTAACTACATCATTTCATAGCCTAATATTGACAAGAAGTAAGGTTTGCTAACTCTGGCTGATTTGATGACGTAATGGCACTCTGAGTCAGGAGGGAAAGTGAAATGTTATCTTGGCAGTGTTGGTTGCCTTTCTCGATATACTGTAGGTTTCCTGTACTATCTCATGGTTTTCCTTATCACAACAGAAGAGCCACAAAGGACCAGAGGAGGATGTTTCCAACCTGGAGGGCAAACCACTGGTCCAAGAACACTTTTATTTACACTGTAATAAACAGCTTGCTTGAGATAGTCAAAACAGGTCAGACTAAACATATGACAAGTTTCCGAAGTTGCCTCCCAAACTGATTGGCTATGTCGTTGTCACTGCTGGAGCATTTTATGCACTATTTGATGCTTTCCCTGTGTCTAGAAAGTAGGACTTGTCCACAAGAAGTTTCTGTCTACATATGGGTTTTGTAGTGATCCCAGTCACCTCTCCATCAACTTTTTCTTTGGTGACTGCACTAGAAACAGTTTACATAGTTAGTGGAATAGACGACAAGCTAGTGGGAAGTTCTGCAGCACGAGCCACATTTAAATGAATGAGAGCATGGTGGTCCTGTCATGCAGCTCCCATTTATCTCAATGCAGTTTGTGCAGGTACACTTCTGCTGGATTGTGCCTAAAGCTTCTTATGTAATCGAGTAGTTATCATGTGACCTTTCTCAAAGTACTGTAGATGAATCTTAGTTAATCTTTTTTCTTTTTTCATCTACAAGCTGAAAGTAGTGTAGTGGTGCCTAGTGGTGTGTGTTTTTTGTTTGTTTAATCTTAGTAACTGAGTTGTGGACATCAGTATTTTTTATTCCTTTGGATCTTCTTCATGTGTGTTCATTGTGCTTTTAACTGTATGTGAATTGAAACACACTTATTTGTCCTTCCAATGTGTCTAATATTGAGCTTATACTTATATATTATATATATGCTTATATCCTTCTTATATCCATGTAACTGACATTGATGTGTTAACACGCAAGTTTTATACTCTAATATTTATATTGCTCTTTTTTCTTTGGGAAAAATAATAAAATCTTTTCTTCTGATGTGCTGTGAAATATTATTGGTATGGCATGCTTCTAGTGAACAGTGTTTGAGTTTTAAAAATCTGAAAGAATATGTAGGTGCAAGCACATGCACCAAGAGCGTGTAGTCTTTTATAATACCACTCTTCCAAAAAATTATCATACTTAGAAACAGAAAAAGGAGTGTGTTTTGTAAGTGAACATTCAGTTCTTTGGGCAAAAGGATTCTAGACACACAGGACAGATGTGGACAAAGAAAGTGAAGCAATGACAAAAGATGACAACTACCACATGAATGTCAAGTCAAGTATCTTTATTATAGGCCACAGACCAGACAACATAGAACACAATATAACACATCATAAAAAGGCCTGTGATTGTGTTTAATCTAATTTGCTCTTGGTAATGCATAAATTCTATAGTTACAAACTTAGCAATGGCAAGAGTTATTTTAGGACCTTTATCCACCAAAAGAAGCTGTACATTAAATGCTTCTATCTGTCCAGGAAATGGGCTAAAAAGAGATGTTAGTACCTCATTAAAAATATCTTGGTATAAATTACAATAAAGCAAAACATGAGTCTGTGATTCAATACTCCTGTCTTCACAATCTCATTCTGCATAGAGGTTTTCTGGAATTTACCTTCCAGCATTATTGGTAGCAAGATACTGAGTTGCAGTAGTGTGAAAGTTCTACAAAGGATTTTCAACTTGTAGTTTGGTCAAGGTACAATGCTGATTTAAAATAAAAATGGATAAATGTCCCTATTGTGCTCTGGGTAAGAGTTTACTATATTCTATTTGTAATTCTGTATCAAGAATCCTTTGAGAACTACCACAGCCTATTCTAGTCTCCCCAAATCTTGCAGCACAAAGTGCAGATAGAGAACCTGCTCTATTTAATGTTCCTTTATTATCTGTCATTTTAAAAAAAAATCTCAGAAAACACATTAGCTTTTTTTTTTTACTCATAGCTAAATAGTTTATCTGAAATTAGTGTTCCTTACAGAAATGTATCAGTGATCTCACAGCTCTTCTAAGGCCTGTTAGTGTCTGCGATATTGCAGCAGCATCTGCATAAAGTAGTATAGATATTAGTCCATTTACCAGTTTGGGGGTGGATAGGGTAGAAGTCTTTCTTATTTAAAAATTCTACCAATGCATTATGTAAAAGATGAATAATGGGACCAAATGTCACATCTCTGTGATTCTTGGTATTTTATCCAAGGTTGTATCACTAGTGATGATGATACAGCCCTCTGCCAAGTGTGAATAACAGGCCTTGGAAAGTTGAGGTTTACTGAATCAAGGTCTTTTAGTCTTGTTTATCCAGTATGTTTGGTCAGTTTGACTGGCTGGGAAGTTGGTGTTCCAGGCCATTTTCCAAAATACAATAGAAGCAGGTTTTAGTTTCCAGTGAAATTTTGGGCTCTGACTGCACCAGTCTTCTGTAGATCTGCATGACTAAAGAATGCAGTGCTTGATTCACTCAGAAGTATCATGACAAGCCGTTTGACCCTGTCCCATTTGTTTCTAGATGCTAAGTAGTTAAATTTTTTTTAATATTGATAGGGTCATGTTCTTAAATATTATCACGTCTCTAATACATCCCATTATTCCTGGTATCAAGATACTTACATTCAGGAAACTTATACTAGAAATTCTTTATTTATTATTTGCTAACATTTGTATTCTGCCAATTCTCACAATTCTGGGAAGCTTGCAGAAAATACAATAAAATATCAATAAATAGCCATAAAACCAATACCATTAATAAAAATATTTAATAAAAACTATTGCTATTATCAGGCACATCTGAATGCTCTCAGGAGGATGGTTGTCCCCATTTTGCAAAATACCATCAAGGACAGAGAAATGTCTGAGGGGGACAAACTATTACAGAGAGGGGACTACACCATCAAGAGTTACAGATGGAACATCCATGGTACCAGAATGTTTCTGAACCAAGAGCAGCTTCATCTTGCTGTGATTTAGTTGCACTCTGGGTCACCCCATCAAGACCCTCACCACTTCCAGCACCAGATTGGGATTTCCACAAATCTCCTGTGGAAGTTGAGTTGAGATGGTAAACTAAGAATCATACTGATATTTAATCTCAAGGTGGCAAAGGACCTCTGCCAATGTTTCCATGTAGGTGCTAAATAAAGTAGGAGAGGAGGACAAACTCTGGGGCACTCCACACTGAACTGCCAAAGGGTTCAACCTCTCCTCTCAAGAACACTGATTCCAAGTGCCAGTTCATGAAGAAATGGAAACACTGCAAAGCAGTGCCTGCAACCCCAAACCCTTACAGACAGTCCAAAGGGATATTGTGGCAGATGGTAGCAAACTGAAAGTGAAAGATTTAGCAGACAAGAAGAGGTTCACCAATCATCCACAAAGTGTGACCAGTGTGGTCTCCATCCCATGTTCATGTCTAAAACCATCCAGAGCCCTATGTAATTGAAGTCCCACAATCTTTCTAAGAAGTAGTACGTTGGAGACTGGATTATAATTCTCTAGGCTGGATCCAGGGGTGGTTTTTGGAGAAGGGAGCATACCGCTGCCTCCTTTAAGGCTGGAGGCATTAACCTCACTCCCAAGGATGAACTGATCACCTCCTGGATCTATGCAATCACTGCCTCTCTAGCTGCTTGTCTAGCCAGGAGGGACAAGAGTCTAATTTACAGATGGCTGAGCTCATTCTAGAAGACCTTAACAGTATTAACTGCCTTGCAGAACAATATCTCTATTATCTCATGAGACATGCTCCCCCCACCCCCATCTAGTGTCCAACAGAGTGAATATGAGTGATTTATACTGCATGGCAAATGCTCACCGAGAGGAGCAGGAGGTTCTTACACATTTTTTATGTTTGCAAACTCCTGTGCATGTCCAATATTCGTTTTTTACAGTCAAATAAAACACAATTCTATATTCTAAAAAAGGAAAAAAGACCGCCTACAAGGGTACTGTACTAAAAGGCAGATAGGACCATTGTGAAATTTTAAAAAATTAGGGATCATCTCTAAATCACAAAAAGCTCATGTAAGTTAAAATTAGCTATTTTTTCATAACGATCAAAAAATAAAAATATTTGTTTGCAAGGTGGTTTATAGAAAACATTTAACGAATACATGCATCGGGACTATAATGGAGATTAACCTCCGACGCCAAGAAATACGGAGGAAGGAAAACTCTTCCAAGGGTCCAGAGCAGCGCATTGGACGGAAAAAGAAACCCTACAATAAACTGCAGTAGCAGCAGTATTGTTCATGAGAGCACCCGCAAAATCCCTCCATACCTCAAGAATGCAGGTATTATAATGGCCTCTCCTCCTTCCAAAAGCGTACCGCTTCATTGTTCTTCCTGACTGACCTAATAAGACCAGGAAGAAAGGAAGGCAGAATGTAGGAAAATAAAGGCAGAAATGGCTCACGGATGTACCAGGGAATCTTCACTCTGTTCCCGCAGACAAGCTATACTTGGGAAGAAGCCGGGACGGGGCACTCCTAATTAAAAGGGCGCTTTTTTAACACCCCCCCCCAGTTCACATTTCAAGCATCAGCAGCCTCCGGTGCGTCCCGACGTTCACAACTCTGTTCGGAAAGAACGCCGGCGGTGGGAAGAGGCGGATCTCGCTCCATCCAAGGAAGAACATTTCCCTCCCGGCAAAGAAGCGCGCGCGGCTTCCCCACCTCCTAGCTGGGGGGAATGCCCTCTTCAGCAAGCAGCGGCGCGCCCTTGGAATTCACTCCTGCTTTGCCGGGACCGCCTCGCGAAAGCAACCCCTTCCCTTCGCCTCAGAGGCCAGCGAGACTGCAGTTTTTATAGACGTTAGGAAGCGAGCGAGCGAGAGATCCCTTCCCCCCTTTTCCCAAGCACTGCTTATCTTCAGGACCGGAATGTGGAGAACATCCCCCGTTCCAAATGGAAACCATTACCACCCCCGGCAGCACTCTTGCACATGCGCAGAAGAGCGTGCCAAAAGCGACTTGCCATTAACGCCCCCCTCAAAGGAGCAGGGGAAAAGCCCCCTTTCCATCAGCTCCCTCCTTCCTCAGCTCATGGCAAGATTTCCTATTGGACGTTGCAATGATTGTGTTCCGGGCGAGGAGCTGAAGATGTGGGTGGAGAACCTTTGAAAGAAACGACCTCGAAAGTCGATTAAAATACTTGTGGCAGTAAGAACGGATACAGAAGGTAACCGGTTACCTCAATCGCAGTACTCGTCATAAGTGAAAATTATGAAAAAATAATTGTGCTGCCCCCCGCCCCCGGCAATCGCCAGGAGTCGATACTGACTCAAAGGCACACCAAAAAAACAAACAAACACGCACGTAACAAAAAATAACACGTGAGCGGCGCGTGCTAGGCCTACGAACTGCAATCCATCGCGTTGCGTATGGCAGCTTTCCAACTATTGGCAGAATTCCTGCGGGTGACCTTGCTCCGCCCCAACAGCAGCCTCAGGGCCAGTCTGATCCGTAAGATTTATGTCCACCCTCCCGTAAGGAAAAGTAGCTCGGCTGCTCATCTCTTCCATACACCGGAACAAAGGTAGGGGTATGGCACTTCCGTCGGCAGGTTTCCTGTTTATAACAGTGCTGAAACAGCGCCAGCGTTTACTCCGGTTCCTTTAACAGTAGAGATTCACAACACACCATCCTCCATCTTCAGGCCTTAGGAAGTGGAATTCACTGCAGGTTTAAACGGCCGGGCCCTGGGGATGAATGGGACGCTTGCCGGCAGTGGGAAGAACGCCCCGACTCCAGCTCGGCTGCAGGAGAGACCGGCTCTTCTGT